TGCCCACGTCCACCTCCCAGTAGTGCCGGCCGGATGTGAGCCGCGGGGAGCCCAGCACACAGAGGGAGGCGCTGAACCTCTCAGGACAGGCCCTGCGCTTCTGCTCCTCGTACACACAGCGGACTCGCCGCAGGTCCTCGGAGATGTAGAGGTGGTTGTTGGCCGTGTCCACATCCAAGGTCACGTTCACTGTGGAAAGAGAGATCATCTGTCAGCTCTGTCCCCACCCCTCGGGGCCACTGCAGGGGCCCACGACTCATTCACTTTCTTGTCATCCACTCCACACCTCGGGTTTTCCTGGGGAACTTCCCGGGTCCCCGATTACATCAGATTTCATGGACACAAGGAACGGTCATCATTGGAACTGGCCCTTGGTCATGACAGGCGTTCTCTCTACATTAAGCTCTTTGCTTAGTTGATGAAGGACTTTTCTTCCCTTTAGTGTGGACTCAGCATGGAAAAAGAGAGCATGACTGCTGCAGGTTTTCAGAATTAGCGTACAGATTATCACAGACTGTGTCCACACATACACCTGAACTAGGCATTTCAAAGGATGGAGAATATTTCACTTATTACAAAATAAATTCGACATCAAATCTTTTGTTTCTCTTCCTGTGTGCATATGTGAGTGTGTGTGTGTGTGTGTGTGTGTATAAAATTTGTATATAATTTTTCTCTAAGAGTCCTGACATCAGGACGTGTAAGTGTTGACACCTTAGCAGGAACCCAGACAGCAGCTCACCCGGGCCCCGCCCGAGGGGCCGGAATGCGGAGCAGCAGACCCTGGGCGGGGGCGCCGCCTCCCTCTGACTCTGATTGCTGCGCAGAGCTGCGTGTCTAACGGACACCGCCCCCCCCCCACCCCGCCCCGGCTGGGGCTAGCGCTGCGTTGGAAAGAAACCTTCTGGAATAAAGACCCATCAATCCCTGTGCGTTTGCTTTCTCTCTTTTTTGTTTTTAAATTTTCTTTTTGAATCCTCACCTAAGGATAGGTTTTAATGACTATAGATAAGAAAGGAGGTGGAGTGAAGGAGGGAAACAGGGATCTGTTGCCTTGCGTGCGCCCCCTGGCGGGGATCGAACCTGCGAGCTTGTGGTGCACAGGGCCTGCTCCGACCAACTGCACCACGCGGCCAGGCCAGTAAATATTCTTTATGATCCTTTCAGTTGCCTCTGTCAGGAAGGTGAAGGGAGATGGTAACATTTACAGCCAGGGACCTAACGGCGGTCGCCCTTTTGGGAGGACAGAAAAGCCTTGCTGCAGAGTCCATCCTGTGTCCAGGGCAGCAGACGCAGGAGGCGGGCCCTGGACCGAGGGGCAGCCTCAGAGCAGGCGGATGGGGAAGGGCTGTGCTCTAGTGTGGACCTGCACAACCTCTCCTCAGTGCGGCCTCCGAGGGTGTCCTGGGCATGGCCCTCAGGTCCCGCTCTGTGTTGGCCTGTCCTCGTTCCTTCGGGTGGATGAACCGAAATACCACCAACCAGGTGGCTTGGAGGCAAAGCCGTGTGTGGCTCACTGTTCTGGACGCTGTGAGTCCCAGATCAGGGCTCCAGCCCGTCAGGTTCAGGCGGGGGCCTTCCTGTGTCGTGGGCTGTGCCCTTTTGCCGTCACTTCACGGAGCACATCGGACAGGACTTCTCTCCGGAGCCTCTTCTGGAAGAAACGCATCCCACTCACAAACGCTCTGCCCTCAAGATCTGAGCACCTGCCAGGGCCCCACCTCTTATAACGTGCATGGGATTATAATTTCTCTTTTAAAAAGCAATTTATTAATTTATTTGATAGAGAGAGGGAGGGAGGAAGACACAGATGGGAAGAGACAGACAGACAGAGAGACACTGATTGGTTGTTGAACTTATTCATGCCTCTGGAATCCAGCCCGCATCCACCTGAGCTACCGGCCAGGGCTGGGGGTTACAAATTCAAAATATGGGTTTAGGGTCACAAACATGCAGACCACAGCATGGCCCAAGGTGCATTCAGTCCACTATATTTCCAAGTGTTAACCGCACTGTTGAATTACTTGAGAAGGAATTGGCTTATTCATAACTGCATTTTTAGAAAGTCATATATTAGTTATTTTCACCACATGAACCCATTCTGGCAGACTTTGAAATTAATGGGACTTCATCTCACTCCAAATTCTTTTTCCTTCCCTGCTGCCTCAGGGTAAGAGAGGTCAGAGGGGCATCCTCATTCAATGACAGAAACAGAAATGTGAGTGACATTCACACACACAGTAACCACACGGGAGGGTGACAACGTCCCAGCAGAATTTCCTGAGAGGCCAGCACCTCCTGCAGGGGGATTTGGAAAAGGACAAGTGTGTGTGGGGGTGTCACTGAAGGGCAGACACTTCTCTGTGTCCTTCTGTCTGTAGCTGCGTGTGTGTCTATCATTGGGTCTCATTTCATGACCCAGGATTCTTAAGTTATAACCCAAACTCTGCACATTAATTCACACTCCCGTCCTCACACCCAACCCTAAGTCCATGGCCATACAAGTCTGGGCCCAGGTTGCAAGGGACCAACCCCTTTCCCTCACTTAAGGGGACTCCAGGGCATAGGGACCTGCAGGGACCCTCCTGAGTCTGGCCCCACGTGAAACACTTCTCCACCTCCCACCTGCCCAGCCCAGGCAGGAGGGGCAGCTCAGGACCAGACAAGCTCAGCGCAGTCCCACCCACGGTGCTGCCCTCCCACAGGTCCCAGTCCCTCCTGGGCTGACCCCTCCTGGTTCTGCCCTGAAAGTGGATGGGAGGGAGCCCTTACATGGCTGGTCTGAGCTCCACGGCTCTGTGCAGGGATTCCTCAGGCAGGGCGGCTCCCAACCCCAGTTCCAGGGACAGAGTGAGTGCTCCTGACCTCCCCACAGAGATGCTACTATGACGTTGCCTCTTGTGTCAGTGACACTGTCTGTGTGGGGAGCCTGGGGCATCTCTAAAGTAGAGGAAACTTGTCCCATGCAGATCACCCTCAGGTATGTCTGCTGACTGGGGGCATGGGTGGCCATTGCCCCCAGTCAGCAGGGTGCAATGGGGGCCATTGCCCCCAGTCAATGGGAGCCCATGGCTCCCTCAGGAGCAGTGGGGAGGAGGCAGAGAAAGTGTCCCCTTCCTGGGGACAAGCTGAGTTAGAATCACATGTCATTGGGATGCAGGGACATCTGGACCAGGAGCTCCCTTCTCGGTGTTTCTCGCTGGGCTCTTTCCTTCAGCTCCTACTCTTGTCCAAACTCTGTTCTCAAGTACCTCATACTGGTCAACTTAGCACTTTTTTTTAAACTTAAGACAATTATGTTTTTCTTTTTCCATTACCATTTACCACCCCCCCCACACTCTCCCACCTCCACCCATCCCTCTCCCACGCAATTACCACACTGTTATCTGTGTCCGTGAGTTAATTCTTTTAATTTTTCAGTTACACTTAACATGCTATATTAGTTTCAGCTGTAAAACAGAGTGATTGAACATATATGTGTATACAGCTTATTAAATACTCTCCCCATTATATCTAGTACCCATCTGACACCATATGAACTCACGACAATATTATTCACTATGTTCCCTGTGTTGTACTCTACACCCTACTCATAAGTGTCCAGGGCTGATACAGGACAAAGATTATATTTTCCTTGACTTGGGCGGAAGTTATGAGAGGGGCTAAGGAGGGTGAGTGTAGAAGTGGTGAAGAGCACAGCAGGACAATCTCAGAATATCTCCTTGTAAATTACTAATGAATGACAAACACCAAATGGTGACTGTATGCCAAGGAGACCTGGTCCTCACCAACCTGATGAGCTACCAGGATGAATGTTCCCACTGTCCAGACAGGTGGGTACAGTGTCCACTCCTTGTTCTTCCTCTTCCACAGGCCTGGCTCCCTTGGTGGCCTCATCCACACTCACAGCTTTAAATGTCATTCTTATAGCATCACTTCCACACCTATGTCTTGAGCCCAGACATTTCTCCTCAAGGTCCCCACACTCATCTGTCCAAACTGACACCTCACTGGTGTGTCTAACACATATCTCACCTGACCTACTCATCCTCTGAAAGCTTGAAATGCCCACCTCTCCCCTACACATGCTCCTGACAGAGTCTTCCCCCTCTCTGCTGATATATAACCCCATCTTTCTGCTGGCACACTATAAATGTTGGGTATCCTCCTTGACTCCTTTCCCACACCCCAGATTGAATCCTTAGGAAATGCTGTGAAATCCATCTTCCAAATGTATTCAGTGTCCAGTCCCTTCCCACTGTTTCCACCACTTATAGCCCCGTCAGAACACCCAGCACCTGCAGCCTGGAACCGTGGGAGCTTCCCCACACCTTTCCCTCCTGCCTCGCTGGTCCTCTGTGTCCTGATTCTGTCCTTAGCTCTGCAGCCAGACTGACCATGTGGCCTGAGAGCTCTCTGTTAGGGAGGAACTCTCAGAGGAAGCCACTAAGGACATGAGCTCCTTGGCCATGACCTTCCAGGACTCAGCATCTGCAGAATGAGAGCAGTGTCTGCAGTGGATTAAGGACAGTGGACGCTGGAACCGCTCCTGCTTTAAGCAGGTGCTCTCACCTTCAGAATGGTCAACTCTCTGAGCCCCACACAGACACCCCTGAGGTCTATAAGAGGCAGTCCAGGAAGCTTGGGGTGGCTCCTAGGCAACAAAGTAGCACTTTGTTAGAATCAGGGGACTCAACCAGCCAAAGCCAGAGGCTCCAGAAGGTCATATTCAGATGTGCAAGAAGAAACCCTTAATTGTCCATGGAGCACAGGTGGTCACAGGGAACATCAGTGGGGAGCCATGTGGTCCCTTTGTCCGGTGGCAGACAGTCTGTCCCTCTTGGGTTGTCTCCAAACCTCATGGTAAGTTTGTGAAGGTAAAGTGACTTAGAACAACTTAACAAATAGACTGAAGATGGAGACACAATAACACCTACCAGAAACAATACACCTTGGAGCTCTTAATCTAAGTCTCTTCTGTTTAGACTATGTATATAAATATATAGCTAACTTAATATAATGCAGACGTGTTCAGATGCTGATTGCAGAAACAGGACTCAGGGATCCTTAAAGTCCCAAGGAGAGGCTGCAGTGACTATTTTAGCAGATCCCGTAGAAAGCAGCTCTGTCACACTGGGAAAGAAAGTTGTCATGAAGAACTTCAGGTCAGTCTCAGAAGTGTCACATTCCCCCACAGCCCAACACATGCTCAGAGTGTCCCACTCCTAGAGTCCCCAAAACCCTGCTGTGCCCCTTGGTCCCAATGCCACCCATTTTCTGCCTCAGGGTCTCACCCTTAGGAGCTGTGAGAGACACATCAGAGCCCTGGGTACGGTCACTGCCTGGGGAAGACACAACAGCAGAGTTAAGGGTGGCAGAGCCCCCCTCACAAACTCCAGCCCACACTCTCCCAAGGGTCCCAGATGTCACCTCCCCAACACCCAGACTTACAGGCAGCTTGAGCGTAGCTCTTCCTGCCTCTGCCTGTGGGAAGAAAACATTCTGTGAGAAGTCAGGGGGAAGGCTGGGTCCCTTGACCCTAAAGAAGCCCCATACTCATAAAGCACAGGGAAGGTTCCAGAACTGTGACTGAACACCCAGGGTAGGATCAGGAAATATGGGGAAAGTACATGTGTGGGGACTGGATAAACCATGGACAGGGATGTCTGTCCTCAACAGGGACTTTCTTCTCTGACCTGTGACAGCTGGGAATCAGTCCCCATCACTAGAATCATCAGGTGATAAATGTGTCTCTCACTTTCCCACGGGCCTCACTAAAGAGTCAGTGTTAAGAAAGAGGCCCCAGATGGGCAAGCACCTAAGTGGGGGATACAATGTCCATTAATCAGGCAAAGCACACTTCCACCTGGGCTTGGCCCCCAGGGGGACAGGGAAACTCAGCCCCACCCCTTGCCCACCTGAGAGCTTCATCCTCCACAGCACAGCTCCAGTGACCACAGCTCCAAGGAGACCCAGGGCAGCAGCGATGACCACGATGGTGCTGGTGGTCTGAGGAGGGGAGTCTGGGAAGGGAAGATGAGAGGTCAACCTCAGGCCTGAGTCCTGACCCTGCTCAGGGACATCCTGAGGAGAGGCTCTGTGCCCATGTCCCCTCCTCACCCCATCTCAGGGTCAGGGGCTTGGGCAGTGCCTGGTGCTGCACACGGCATGTGTATCTCTGCTCCTCTCCAGGGGGCACAGCCACAGCTGCCCACTTCTGGAAGGTTCCATCCCCTGCAGGCCTGGTGTCCACAAGTTCCATGTCCTGGGTCAGGTCCTCCCCATCACACTGCCAGGTCAGGGAGATGTCCGCAGGGTAGAAGTCCAGGGCCCAGCACTTCAGGGTGACCTCATGGTCAGAGATGGGGTGGTGGGTCATTTGTGTCTTTGGAGGGTCTGAGGGGAGGGTGAGAAAATTCAGGAACTTTGCATGGTCATGGGACACTCCAGCAGTGCTCATGTGACCACGCTGAGAGTGGACAGGACAGCTGGGGTGGGGGAAGGGAGAGCAACACCCAGACACCAGCCTGGAGGAGGCACATGGGATAATCTATTTCCTGGAAATTTCCAGAATCAGGGTGAGAACCTAGAGCAGGAGTGTCCAAGTCTCTAAGGGAAGACACAGACTCAGGTGGAGGCTGAAAGACTCAGAAAAGCCAGAGTCAGGCCTCCAGAGAAGGTCACAGCTGCAGAACCAGGGAGAGCGTCCTGGTGCACCAAGTGGTGCAGGGTGTGAGGGAACCGCTGTGAGGTGTTGCCGGGAGAGGCTGGTTCCCTTACTGTCCTTTAGAGAAAGCTGGTCCCGCGAGTGAGTCACAGAAGAAGGAACTCTGGGGAGCTCTTTCTTCTCCGGAGCAGGAGGGACATTCTGTCACTGCCCCATTCCCCTCCTCTCCTTGTAGGAAGCCGCCCCAACTCACAGATGCCCTCCTCAGGGGGGCTCCTGTCCCGGTACCTGCTCGGAGCAGGGTCTTCTTCCCCTTCGCCAGGAACAGGTGGAGCCAGGACTCGCAAAGCCCCTCCAGGCAGAGCTTCCAGCCTTCCACATTGGGATTCTGCACCAGATTGCGATTGGCGGTGATCTGGACATCGGCGTCCGTCGCTGTCTCGGAGCGCAGGTCCACGTTCAGGGCCATGTATTCGATGCCGTCGTAGGCGAACTGACTGTACAAGCGGAGAAGGCGCCTGTCCAACCCCACGACGCAGCGGCTCATATCCTGGAAGGTGTTAGACCCTGACCCGGACCCCACGGTTACAAGGCGCACTTAGTCCTGACGGAGGACAGTCGCGACCGTCCGCACGTGATTAAATTTAAGCTGAATGAAAATCAAACCGGGTCACAATCCCCAGGGCCTCCCCCCGCCCCACACAGGGTTGGTGGGCAGTGTGCATCTCGCAGCCTCGGGGTGACCCTTGGACCCTCAGACTCGCAGCGAGCCCGGCCGGTCCGTGGCGATGAGCGTGGTGCCCAGACCCGGCGCGCGGGGCTCACCGTCCTCGCTCTGGTTGTAGTGGGCGCGCAGGTCGTTCAGGATGGCTCGGAAACTTTGTCCGTAGTCCTTGACGGCGTGGGTCTGCTCTTCCCAAAAATGGGCGTCCTCCTGCTCTGCCCACCGCTGCTCCAGCCACGGCACCCGCGGCTCCAGCCTCGGACTCGCGCCGTTGCTGTCGAACCGCACGACCTCCGTGTCCTCCACGTAGCCCACGACCAGGTACCGGTACCTCCCGCGTCCGGGTCCGGATAAGATGGTGCTGAAATATTTCAGCGTGTGTGGGCCTCGGAGCGGGGAGGACGCGCGTCCTGGGTTCTCGATTGGCCCTGTAGGGCCCCGGGGCCCCCGTGGACGGAAAAAGGTCATGGAGAGGAGGGGGTGAGAGAAACGGGAGGGTGGGGGCGGAGGCGGGGGTCGAGGGTTTGAAGTCTGGGTTGGGGGCCCTGGAGACGGAGAGTCCCCTCGTTCCCCTCCCTCAGGGGCCGTTTCCTCAGAAAGGGGCACTCAAAGGCCCAGGTCTTGGTCAGCGCCAGGACCCCCGAGAGCAGCCGGACCAGTACTTGGGGCTCCATGACCCAGACCCTCAGCGTACACAGAGAAGGAATTCGGATTCTAGGTGAGGACTTCATATCTAAACCACGGTGATGCTGATTGGCTTCGCTCGAGTTCAGATACCCAATGGCAGTGAGAATTGGATTATCGTCATGAGTATCCAGGCCGAAGGATCTGCGAGATGGAGCCGGGAATTTTGGGATTAACGGGACACCCAAACACTGGAAGTCCCCACCGCAGACTTGGTCTGGGGGCTGACGTCCTGCAAGCCAGGCCTGGGGGCTTAGACCTGACCTTTCTTCCTGCGCGGAGAACTCTCTGTCCCGCTGTCTAATCGTGTCCCAGCCCACGGGCTGTTTTATTCAGCGGCTCTCACACACTTTGGTTTCACAGCATTTATACAGTCTTACAAAATACGGGGGATCCCCAACATAATTTTGTTCAAGTGGGTTATATCTATCGGTATTTACCATACACGGAGTAAAGCGGTTTGAAAAAAAATCAATTCATTTAGAACAATATTAATAACTTATATGTTTACAGAAATAATTTTTTAAGAAAAATAACTATTTCCTAAATACACAAGGTAGTGAGCAGAGTGGATCTGCTTACATTTTACGTTTTTGTAAGTCTCAGTGCTTGTTGGTATGAGTAGAAGCCCACTGGATTTTCATACTTGCTTTTGTGTTTGTGTTATTTAGGTTGCCATAAATGAAAATTTATACAACCTCACACAAATATGTAGGGGGAGCATCTTTAATAACCTTTTCATATAAGTGTGGGTATTCAGCTTTGATCATACACTAAAGCTTCACAGGTGGTACCTTCTGTAAAGCTCTTTGCAAAGTAGAACCTGAAACAAATCCATTGAATATTTCCTATTCTGTTACATTGCTTGAGTGGCTCTTGTACTGATGCAGGATTATTTGAAAGTGATGCATCGTTTCACTAAGTGATAGAGATCTCCCAGTGTTGGTGCATTTAATGACACACCATCAAAAATCACATTTGTTAACGTTACCGCAGATTCCTGTAGAAACAGCTGTCAGCTCTGGGAAGCTGTCTGGCTGCCGTGGTGAGACACACATTTGCCAGAACCCTGGTTTTCCTCTGAGAGCTTTCATTCCATCCAGACAACAAGTGCTGTCAGGTGTCAACTGCCCCTTGACTCTCCTTGAGGGAGAAGCTCACGTTCATTTGACAGAGTGTTCACCAGTTCACCACACCTCAGTCATCACAGGTTCTGTGTCTCTCATTCTCTTAAGTGAACTTGCTGTTCCATGAAGAAGAGGCTGACTCAGCCCTCACAGGTCACTTTCCTGGGCTCATGGCACTTGGGGATGTAGCAGAGTGTGTTTGTGCACTTTCCCGGTCATCATAGGAGATATTTTATTTTTTATTCTCCATTTTTATTAAGAACAGTTAAGAAATCGATCCATTTGTATAATGAATTCAAGATACATTTATCTTCTTTTTAAAAATATTTTTAAAAATTTTCAGCTATAGTTGATGTACAATATTATATTTGTTTCTGGTGTCCAACTCTGTGATTAGACATTTATGTAAATTACAAACTGATCACCCTGAGAAATCTAGTGCTCACCAGACACCATATGTAGTTATTACAATATTATTGACTATATTCCCTATGCTGTATTTTACATCCCTGTGACTAATCTCTAACTACAAATGTGTACTTCTTAATCCCTTCACCTTTTTAGCCATCCCACTCACCCCCTTCCCATCTTGCATTCACTAGTCTGTTCCCATATCTATGAGTCTGGTTCTGTTTTGCTTGATGACTTGATTTCTTAGATTCCACATATAGGTGCAGTCATCTGGCATTTGTGTTTCTCTCTTTGACTTATTTCACTCAGCACAATAGCCTCCATCCACATCATTGCCAATGGAGAGATTTCATTCTGTGTGTGTGTGTATCGCTTACTCATGTTCCATTGTATACATGCACCACTTCTTTATCAAATCATCTATTGATGGACACTGACATAGGTGGCTTCCATACCTTGGCTTTTTCGAATAGCATTGCAATGAACATATGAATGTGTATGTCTTTTTGATTTAGCGTTTTGGTTTTTTTCAGGTCAATATCCAGAAGTGGAATTGCTGGGTCCTTCATGTCTCTTGTTATATAGCATTTGTTTTAAAGTCTGTTTTGTCTGGTGTAAGTGTTGCTGCCCCAGCTGTTTTTGTATGCTTGTTTCCACTTTTATGAAATATCTTATTTGATCCTTTCACTTTCAGTCTGAGTTTGTCTTTCAATCTGAATCAAATCTCTTGTAGACAGAACATATAAGGTATGTTTTGTTGTTCATTCAGCTACCATATGTCTTTATATTAGAGAAATTAATTTATTTTCATGTAAAGTAATTTTTGATAGATATGTACTTATAGCTATTTTATTACTCATATTTAAAAATTCTCCTTATTTTTCCCCTTCTTCTTCTTCCCCTTCTTCTCCTTTTCTCTTTCTTCTTCTTCTCCTCCTCCTCTTTCTTCTTCTTCTTCTTCTTCTTCTTCTTCTTCTTCTTCTTCTTCTTCTTCTTCCTCTTCCTCTTCCTCTTCCTCTTCTTCTTCTTCTTCTTCTTCTTCTTCTTCTTCTTCTTCTTCTTCTTCCTTCAAGCAGACCTTTTAACATCTCTTGTAATACTAGTTTGGTGGTGACAAACTCCTTTAGCTATTTCTTGTCCAGGAAGCTCTTTATCTGTCCTTTGATGAAAAGTGGAAGAGTTGCCAATCTCTTTTGACCTGAAAAGTTTCTGTTGGGAAATCAGATGACAGTCTTATGACAGCTCCCTTGTAGGTAATTGATTGATTTTATCTTGGTGCTTTTAAAACTCTCTCTTCATCTTTAATCTTTGGCATTTTAATTATGATGTATGTTCGTGTGAGCCTTTTTGGGCTCATTTGTTTGGGACTCTGCACCTTCTGGACTGGTATGTCTATTTCCTTCACCAGGTTAGGGAAGTTTTCCATCATTATTTCTTAAGAACAGGGTTTCAATTCCTTGCTCTCTCTCATCTCTTTCCAGCACACCCATGATGTGAATGTTGCTAAGCTTGAAGTTGTTGCAGAGGCTACTTATTTTTATTTTTACTTTTTATTTTGCCATTCTATTTGGGTATTTTCTGCCTCCTTATCTTCCCAATCTCTTATTTCATCCTATGCTTCAACCACTCTACTGTTGATTCCCTCTAATGTATTCTTCATTTCAGTAATCGAATTTTTATTTATAACATTTTCTGTTCATTTTCTGTCTCCATTTTGACGTGTCCTATCTCTTTGTTGAGTTCACACTGATGTCAGCTACTCTTCTTCTGAGTTCGTTGAGCATCCTTATAACCAGTGTTTTGAACTCTGCATCTGGTGGAATGCTTGTCTCCATTTTGTTTAGTTCTTTTTCTGGAGTTTTGTTCTGTTTTTTCATTTAGGACATGTTTCTTTGTTTCCTCACTTAGGCAACCTTCTTATGTTTGTTTCTATGCATTAGGTAGAGCTGCTATGTCTCCTGGTATTGGTAGAGTGTCCTTAAGTAGTAGGTGTCGAGTAGGGCCCAGTGGCACAGCCTCCTTGGTCACCCAACCTAGGTACTCCAGGGGCTCCCCCCTTGTGGGCCATGTGCACCTTCCTGTTATAGTTGAGTCTCAGTTGCTATGGGCAGTGAAGGGATTTATCCACAGGCAGATCAGCTGTGAGGACTGGCTGTGGTCACCGTGGAGGCTCTGGTGCGTGCTGAGACCATCCCTTTAGTGTGTTGTTGTGCAAGTGGTTGAGTGATGCTTTTCTGGGGTCTGAAGTTGTCCATCAGGTGTGCTGGCTTAGGGCCCTTTGGGGACTGGGAGGCCATGGTCAGCCATCACTTATGCCTTCCCTGGGCCAACTGGCATGACCTACAAAACAATATGCATATTGGTGTTACTTGTCCTGGGCTTGGAGGTACCTAGGAGAGTCCAAGGTGCACACACCAAGGCCAGCTGCCATTAGGACCCAACCTGAGGTCACATAGCTGGAGATACAAAGCATGCCTAGGCCAGATGCTGCTTTTTGAGACATTTTAGGAAAATCCACCAACATGAGCCAAGACAGGCTGTTTGGAAGGAAATGTCACTGCAAAGAGCCATGGTGGGCCTTTTAAGTTGAGTGTGGTGGGGTTTCAGGGTGTTACCAGGGTGGGGAAGAGAGTGAGAGCCAGGGTATTTGGAGGCTCAGATATGGCATCCATCTGCCAGCTCTGAGTGGGGGCAGGCTCAGAAAAGGAACAACGGCCTCTGTCAATACTTATGTCTGGGAGACAGCTGCCCCTCAGCTCTCAATCTGATGCAAGATAACTCAGTTGCTTTCCAAATGTCCCTGGAGACTCTTGAGCTGCTGTCTCAGCACTTGAGCTCAGGATAAGTCCATGTGCATGCAGGACTTTTAAGAGGAAGTGCCTGGGACTCCAGAAGCCTCCCTCCCACCCAGTCACAATCACTGCTGGTTTTTATAACTGGAAGTTGTGGAGACCTGTCTTCCTGGCACCAAAAGTTTTGGCTGGGGAGTGTCATGTGGGGCTGGAATTCCTCACTCCTCAGGGGGACGTCTGTAGCCAAGATACCTCTCCTGACTTTTGTCTGCACCTGTGAGTGTGGGACCAGTTTGTTCAAGGTCTACACCCTTTCTGGTGGTCTCAATGTGGCTTTTTAAACTCCCTGGTTGTAGGAGTTTTGTTCACTAAATTTTAGGTGGTTCTGAATGATGGTTATTTGTACTGTAGCTGAAATGTTGATGTGCTGGTTGGGCAATGAGAATATTTCTTTCACCTGCACGCACACCTTGATTGGAAGCCAAGATATTTTTTAAATGTTATTTTAAATATACTGATTTATTAAACATAATAATTTTCAATTCTTCAACCATATTATTAAAGTGACACTGGTTTTGCTTTCCCATTTGTGAGGCGGTGGTGGTGAAGAATGCCTGCTACTGCAGCTGGGTGTCCCAGCCTCCATTCTTGCTAAATTTTCCT